GAGTGGTTAGGGGCGATCAGGCAGGCAGGCTAGCAGTTAGGGGCGATTAGGCAGGCAGGGGAGCAGTTAGGGGCAATCGGGTGGGCAGGCAAGTGGTTGGGGCAATCAGATAGGCAGACAGAGGCAGTTAGGGGTGATCGGGCAGGAGGCAGGCAGGAGAGCGGTTCGGAGCCAGTGGTCCCAGATTGCGAAAGGGATGTCCGACTGCCAGTCCGACTGCAGGGATCGGGCCTAAAATGGCAGTTGGACATCCCCTGAGGGGTCCCGGATTACGAAGAGGGTGCAGGCTGGGCTGAGGGACCCCGCCCTCCACCCAGTGCACGAATTTCATGCACCCGGTCTCTAGTGTATATATATATATTAGAGGCCCAGTGCACGAATTTGTGCACCAGTGGGGTCCCTCCACCTAGCCTGTGGGATCGGGCCAAACCAACTCTCCGACATCCCCCAAGGGGTCCCGGATTGTGAGAGGGCTCAGGCCAGCCTGAGGGACCTCCCTGGTGCATGATCAGGGCTGGGGAGGGACCACGGGAGGGCTCCAGGGCCTGTCCGGCCCGTCTCGCTCAGTCCTAATTGGCTGGACCCCAGCAGCAAGCTCACCTACTGGTCGGAGCATCTGCGCCCTGGTGGTCAGTGCACGTCATAGCGAGCGGTTGAGCAGCCTTAGCATATCTTTAACTTATTACACTTTGATTGGTTGAACAGCTGATGGGTCGACCGGACAGTTAGCATATTGAACTTTTATTATATAGGATCAGAGAAAGAGGAAGGGAGAGGAAGAGGAGATAGAAACATCCATGATGAGAGAGAATCACGGATAGGCTGCCTCCTCTACTCCCTCTACTGGGGATGGAGCCCACAACCCGGGCATGTGCCCTGACCAGTAATCAAACAGTTGTCACGGGTGGACCAGTTATCATGGTCCACCTGTGTCGTGTTGACCCACTTGGTTCATGGGTCAGTGGTCAAAACAACTGAACCACACTTGGTTCAGGTGAGATGATGACATTTTTTTGTGTGTTAATCCTCACCTGAGGATATTTTTTCATTGATCTTTAAAGAGAGTGGAAGAGAGAGAGACACACACACACACAGAGAAACACTGATATGAGAGGAATGCTCAAGAATGTTCAATGCACTCAGGATCCTGGCATCATTGCCAATGGGATTGAGCAAAGTCTCCCCAGTTTCTACTACCCACCAGGGACACCTGTTGGCAATCTCGGGGTGTTCTTCTGCTCCTGAATCCTTCAAAAACTTCATTTGCTTTCTTCCCTTCCTTGCTCATGAATTATGAGTCTTCAGTCTCAGGGTGACTGGTCCCACCCACCTACTTGACATCAATTCTAGTCATAAGGGGTTCAAAACCAATGTGTCTACTCTTCCGAGATGCCCCAACTTCAGGTTCTGGCCAGGAAATGAGCTTACCCATCTGTCCTACAAATAGAACTAGACTCCATTGTCAGGTAAAAAAAAATTAGTAGAAACACAAGTATTTGAAGTTTTCATAAAATTTTATTTTTTTGTTTTTTAAAATATGTTTTTATTGATTTTTAGAGAGAGAAGAGAGAGAGAGAGAGAAACATCAATGACTAGCTGCCTCTTGCACGCCTTCTACTGGGGATCGAGCCCACAATCCAGGCATGTGCCCTGACTGGGAATCGAACCAGGACCTCCTGGTTCATGGGTCCACGCTCAACCACTGAGCCACACCAGCCCAGCAAGATTTCATATCTCGACTTCTTTTCTGAGTCATAGATGCCCCAGTTGAGGGCAGGTGCAGGTTAGATGTTCCATCAGCCATTGTCTATGGAAGTAGGACAGTGGGTTGGGGTGTATCTGAAGGTGTCATGGGTGTGTATGTGTGTCTGTGTGTTTGCACACAAGGGTTTAAAGGGGTTTTGCATTATGGACCCGTGTGAGTTTTGTCTTTGGAGAACACAATTTCCTCCCCGACACCTTGATACCTCTGCCCCGTTCGTCCTCTGTCCACCTTCCAAGCTCTCCACCCTCCAGGCAGGACTCGCTCCCTCTTCCCGCCACACCAGCCCAGCAAGATTTCATATCTCGACTTCTTTTCTGAGTCATAGATGCCCCAGTTGAGGGCAGGTGCAGGTTAGATGTTCCATCAGCCATTGTCTATGGAAGTAGGACAGTGGGTTGGGGTGTATCTGAAGGTGTCATGGGTGTGTGTGTGTGTGTGTGTGTGTGTGTGTGTGTGCACGTGCACAAGGGTTTAAAGGGGTTTTGCATTATGGACCCGTGTGAGTTTTGTCTTTGGAGAACACAATTTCCTCCCCACACCTTGATACCTCTGCCCCGTTTGTCCTCTGCCCACCTTCCAAGCTCTCCACCCTCCAGGCAGGACTCGCTCCCTCTTCCCGCAATGAGCACCTACCTACGCATGGTGTCCACCTGGGTCGTGTTTGTCCGTCCCCTTTAGGAATGGTTTCCGATGGAAACGACCGTGTCATCCTCTCCCTCGGGGCCCCTGTTGGACTCCCGCGTAACGAAACCACATTTGCACACCTGGTCAAGGAGCAAGGATACAGCACGGCAATCATCGGTAAGCAGCCATTGCTCTCTGCCTCCTCCGGAAGTCTCTGTCCTCATTGCGCTTGGCTCACCGGCGACCTGCAATGAACAAAGCTCCCTTCACACACACACACACACACACACACACACACACACACACACACACACACACAGTGTGTACTAAATGATATAAACCCATCCTTTGCAGACATAGCTCAGCCATGACACAAGACACCTTCCCATCTCACCCCCATGTCTTTCCAGATGTTCATCCCACATGTTTCTGGGTCACCCCGTGTGTCCTTCATCTTTGCACAGGTCAAGATGCTCTATGATAAAGATTTTGGATGGTTCTCTCTCTCTCTCTCTCTCTCTCTCTCTCTCTCTCTCTCTCCATTATTCTTTGCAGGCTCTGAAATCTCACCCACCAGGTATCATTTCAGACATGCATTGAGTCCTCCCAGGGACACACAATTAGTGTGAGCATCATTAGCGTTTTAAGGAAGGTCCAGTTCTGATTCTGTGAAAATATCTAGACCCTAAAGCAAAATAAGAACGGGGTATGTTGCTCCGAAATTTCCAGGTGGCCCCGCCCAATCCCTCTATCTCAGGTCCTCACTCATGAAGGTTAATCCACAGGAGAAAACCAAGCTTCTCCTTTGTGCCAATGGCCATGGTCTTGGGCTCATTTCATTTCGGGGACACAGCCTCCCACACCGACTAAAACACTGATATTCACGGGCGGAAGGGATGTCAACAATAACACCCGCCCCCCTCATTTCAGAGACGAGGAACTTGACCCTTTGCAACTCTGAGTGTCACATGGGATGAGTTAGAACCAGGGTCGTTCAACGTTCAAGATGTGTCGAGTTTTCCTGAATCAATCTCTTAGGTCAATGAACTCCGGTGGGAGATCTTTGGATTTCCAATCAGCCAGCTATCCATTCATCTATTCCTCTATGCTCAATATATACTCCATCATTTATCTATATCTATATCTATTATCTATCTATCTATCTATCTATCTATCTATCTATCTATCTATCATCTATTTGTCCATCCATCATCTACATATCTATCCATCATATATCATCTATCTTCTCTCTATCATTTATCAATCTTTGTGGCTATAACTTATATCTATCTATCTATCTATCTATCTATCTATCTATCTATTCATCCATCTATCATCTCTCCTTCCACTCATCTAGTCATCCATTCACCACTCTCTGTCTGTCTCTCTATCATCTATCTATCATCTATCATCTATCTATCTATATCTATCTATCTATCTATGTATCTATCTATCTATCATCATCTCTTCTAGCTGACCATCCATCATCTATGTATCTATCTATCACATATCACCCACTTCTCTCTATCACTTATCAATCTTTGTGGCTATAACTTAGATTATCTATCATCTATCTATTATCTCTCAATTTATCTATCATCACCATCATCTATCCCTCCACTCACTTAGTCATCCATCCACCACTCTCTGTCTGTCTGTCTGTCTATCTACCCACCCACACAATTCTTCCATCCACTTATTAATCCATCATATCTGTCTATCCATCTATCTACCCATCCACTCATCATCGATATTTCTATTCACCTGCTATCTCTATGCTGTCTTTATTATTTATCTATATCTGTGGCTATAATGAACATCTATCTGTTTATATATTTGTTTATTGATATGCCCATCTATCAATCTATCCACCATCCACAAATACATAAATATATCTAACACTCATCTATCATCTATCTATCTACGTATCTATCTAATCTGTTACTTTTCTCTCTATACATCCATTTTTCTCTCTGTATATCCATTCATTCATCCACCCGCTCATCCATCTACCTTCTATCATATCTTTCTCACTATCTAATATCTATCTACCTACTTACCTACCTACCTACCTACCTAGCTACCCATCATCTATACTCTATGTTGGCTCTATCATGCACCTATATTGTGACTATTTCTCATTCTCTCTGTGAATGAGAAACCAGATTTTCAGGCAAATACCTGCAAACTACGGAAGAGCCAAAAGTGAGTCCGTGCTGAACTTGGATGTTTAAGGAAAAAAAAAATATGTGCTACTCCATTTTGTGCGCTGGCTTCTTGTTTCAAATGAAAGATGATCTCATGGTCTTTGTCATAGGTGAGCATGTTATGTGTTATGTGTTATGTGTGTGTGTTTAATTTCAGGGAAATGGCATCAGGGCTTAAACTGCAATTTCCGAAATGACTACTGCCGCCACCCGTCTCACTATGGGTTTGATTACTTCTACGGCATGCCATACAGTCTGTATGACACGTGCTGGCCCGACCCTTCCCGGGACGCGGAATTAGCCATCAGCGGCCGACTCTGGATCTGTGTGCAGCTGGTCGCCATGGCTGCGCTCACTCTCGCTCTCGGGAAACTCAGGCGCGTGCTCTGCGTTCCCTGGGCCCTCATCCTCTCCCTGGTCCTATTCATCCTTCTCCTGGGCCACTTCTGGTTAGACAGTTACCAGTCGACCCTGTACTGGAATTGCCTCCTCATGAGGGAGCAAGAAATTACCGAGCAGCCCATGAAGGCGGAAAGAGCTGGGTCCATCATGGTGAAGGAGGCGATTTCGTTTTTAGAAAGGTAAAGATGATTTTTTATTTGTAGATTCATGAAAAGATAAGAGAATGAGTATCTATCTAT